GTATAGCATACATTATGCGAAGTTTAGTGTAGTGCATCATAGTGCGAATACGTAGTGATCAAGAATGCCATATATCTACGAGAACGTCTGAAGTGAAGGAGCGATGAGAAGCAAAAAGGAACGAAGTGATGGCCAGATATGGAAAGGAATAAGATATATATGTAGCAACGCATTTATTGGTGAGTGAATTTATTTATTACACTTGGAAAATCGTTAATATATTTGTCAATTTGTTGATACAGTTATAAAAAGATCTGTTTAATTTCTGATTAATGATTTATAACCTGATTATTTCATTCAATAATTATTTTTGCCTGAATTATTTTTATTCTTTGGTAATTATGATTACTGATTATTTAATAATCAAGCAATAATCACTTAATCACATTTTCTTCAACTTTTGTTTATGGTATATCGCATGTATTCTTATTGTTAGTATATTGTTTTTAAAGATTATATTTTGGGAAGTTATCAAAAATTTCATATTAACAAAATCAATAAAATATATACGATGTAATTTATTCAGAAAAAACATGCAAAACAAGGAAATTATGTTCTTTTAAGGCTTAAATTAAATCGACTTGCGAACAAAAGACATTTAATGTATTTGCATAGTCGATATGTAGTATAAATATATTTGCATATTTACGACATGTTTATATTCACGTATGCGAATTCAAGTATGTGCCGATATCCGTAAATAGCGATATAACATTGCTATCGATGTACAAAGTCGAAATGAAAAACGCCACACATAGTCAGATTACTCAAATCACTTTAATGTTCGCTTGTTTCTACATGGGAACACACGGGATTTAAATTTATTAATTCTAAACAATAAAAAATAATTAATTTCTATTTCCCACATATAGTAATAAATCTAAACTTTCTTAATTGAAAGTAAATCATACTTGAATAAATATTTCTTTAATATAGAGCAAGGGCTGTTGAGATGCTAGATCTTAAGCCGTATTTTGCCTAATTTATATTTACACAGAGGAGGAGAGGGAGAGGGAATATTCCTCGTTCGAGCTTCACAATAGGCTCTGCGGTTTTCCAGGCCGACCCTAGGGCAAAATAGAAGCTCATAGAGGCCGCAGCGCGTTTCCTCGGGACAAAGCTATCTCCGTGTCTATGCCTATATAGCGCGGTAGCTATTCGTATTTGTATACAATAGGGCATCATAATACGTAATCTGCCTAACGTATTCGCAGATCGGGGACTACCTGAACATCTCCCACGTTCACAAGGCAGGACGTACTCTCGCACTTGTTTGCGCGTCGCGTGAAGGTGTATATGAGGTCGATACGTCCGACATCGTTGCACCTCGGTACCGCGTGTATAAAACGCATCTCGTTCACCATAAATTCCGACCCACTTCGATCTTCTCTTGTTTACGCGCCGCTTTATTTCATATTAAAGCCGGTGAGAAGTACGCGGATGTGTGTGTGAAGGATCGATTCCAAAGCGTAAATCACTCGCAATGCAACATGGTTATACAAATACTGAAAATTGTGTGAACTATTTCGTCCTTGGAATAATGCTTTTTATATCAATGCATTTTCAGAAAAATTTAAGCAAGAAAAGATATATTTATTTTTGATATTTTGATTTTTTTTTGTTTTATAATATTCTCGTAATATGATTAATGTTTTAGCGTTGTAAAACGTATTTTATTGTAAATTCAAACTTTACCTTTTGTTCTCGTTTGTAGAGATCCTATAATAGATCTTATTTCATAGTAACGACCACGAAACATCAATGTTTAAATAGCGTGTATGTAAGATATTGATTTGGCTGCTGTACAATACGTTTGGAACGTGTTGCATTAATATCGAACCGTGTTCCTAGCAATGTAGCAAGGTTCTGATATCCAGGCGCATCTCTGTGTCTGGCCCCGGATGCAACGTAGAGTGAATGCACGAAAATATCTCAGCGGTATCCTCGAGGCATGTTTCGCAGCGGTCATGTAACATGGTTACATATTGCACATTAAACGTTCCCATTCTCGCCGTGTGTATAATTTGCGTTTCGCGAATATAAATTATTTGCCGTACTGTTTCTTAACTTTCGAGATGTTGAAATGAAAATGATTATAATTATAAATAAAATTTGACTGGAATAAAAAATAGAATGGGCTTCTCTGGAATTTCTTGAAGCTTTTCAAGGTAGTTTAAACATTTATCTGACCATCATTTGAATTTCTACAATGTTAAATCCCTCTGATCGTAGAGTTCTGACCTGAACGCTTGCGCGATACGAAACGGAACAATCCGGAATAATAGCATTGAAATGCGGCTTATAAATATTGCGAAACGTGAGCTTGCGAGTGCCTCAACGGCCCTCCGCGTTCGTGGTTGATCCTAGCGCCGATGAACCGCGTTCGCCCCCTTTATCCTTTCTTTTCGCTGCATCGCAAATGCAGCTCCCGGCCAAATCACGAAACCCGCGTGCCGGCGTCCCGTACGCTGTTAGCATGATTCTCGCGTTACCGTCAGGAAAGTGCTGGTTTATTGAACGACGGAAGCGGCGAGGAAATGGCGAACTATCGCGAGATAACGCGGAGCGAGTACGCGTTAAGGCTTTCAGGTACGACGATAGGAACGCCGGAAATCTAGATAAATCCTTATGCAAATTTGAGAAATTTGTAGAAGCCGATTCTACGTTAATACGGTAAGATGCGATCTCTATCACAATTGTATCATTATCATCATTATAAATGCGAGTAAGATGAGCGGCTATTGCGAACGTGTAATACTTAACGGGAATGATGCCTATCGTCGTCGAATAATTATTATCACTTGTCTGGTGCATGACTATGTAGAAATCCAAGTATCAATTTGCCGAGCAATTTTGATGTTCCCTTTACGGTGTTATTTCGAAGAAGTATCTGCTGAACAAGGCAGATCGGAAGCCAATTGGAAATCGTATAACTACTTTAGCTGTCCTCTCGGGCCTGCAATTAAAGCGCGCTCGGGTCCGGACGCGCCGATGCGATGATTAAAAGATACTCGCGTTGCCCCGCGTAAACGGTAATTCATGTTCGTTGATCGTAAGTCAGAATTACGTGTGATTCCAGACAATAAAATATGATTGAACAACCAGCTGAGCGCCGTAAACCAGTCTCTAAATACAAAGCCTCTAGGAAACGAAAAGGCGATGCACCGCGCGCACCTTCGTGAATTAAGTTATTCCCACTAATCGGCTTCTGAGTGGCGCGAGCGTGATATATGCGCGATCGTAAAGTTGAACTTCATTCCGCATTCCTATCCGACAATCCCTTTACACACTCCGATATGTATAAAGCGGTTTGCTAGCTTGCCTCACTCCCCGCGGCTTCGCCTTTTACGACTCTGTCGCGATGTGACAACAACGAGGCTAGGAGTCGAGGATGAACTTGAACGCAGTGGGCTACCGCGTAAAGATGGACGCGACCCGGCACGATTTTATACCCGCGGTAAGTCGGCATTAGGTCTTAAGCTGGGATTAGATCCCTCACGTGCGCCGAAAAGCCGAGAAGCTTGACGCACCCTATGGCAATAATATCGTACCGTATTGTGTTCGGAGGTTCTAGAAACGATCGCAAGTCCAGGCA